GCTGGTATCACAAGGGGTGGGACAGTGGAGTATTTTAATTTAAGGAAGAGGGTTCTGAAAGAGGGTCCGGACCATGTTAACGCGCGCCACCATGGTTAGCGCTGAGGTGCAAACATTTTCAGTATTTTTTACCTCTGGATGCCCGGAAATGGAACTTAAATTACCCTTTTAAATTGTTTTTTTTTGACACATTGAGTCAACAAAAACAAATATTATTTGTTATTTTAAAGAAATAACTCCGTCATGTTGATAACTTCGACGAAAGCTCGCAGCAGGTTTATATCCGATTAATTGCAGTGCCTTTTAAATAAGTAACATCGTTATTCATTTTTCAATCACTTTCATATTTTTATTTAAATTATCTCTCATCGCCATGGCAAACTGGTGGGATCCGCGCCCGTATTTACAGATGGTAATATAATTTAGGGAAACACAATGCATACAAAAGCAACCTACATGTTCTCCTCAAGCAACAGAAACTGGTTGTATGAATAATCACATCGTCACCCCTGACAAAGTTCCGGTCCACTGCTAAACTTCGTATATAAGATATATTTGATATCAAAAAAATCAATGTATTTTGCTTCATGTACAGGCTGTTAAATGATGACCTGCCCAATAAAAGGAAGGACATGTTTAAAGATACGATTTGAACTTGAGAGTGATTTTATGTACGATTTGCGTACGAAAAACATCTCGTCATTCCTTCAAATAGGCTGACAATTAGTCAACATTTTTGTAACGGTAAACGGACCAAATCTATAGAACAACTTGCGACAAACGTCAAACGATATTACGTCTAGCAATTAGTTAAATAAACTTAAAACCACAATATAAAACACGAGCTTGTGAAAAATATTATGTATTTGCCTAGAAATAGTGCACTTTGTAACCGCAAGGAAAAGCGCAATATAAATGCTCATACCAGTACCAGTCTACATAACCTAACATAAAACAAAATGATTGTGAAGATTTCTTGACCCATGGGACTGAAAACTTACAAATTTCTTATCTTATTTTTTATTTAATACATATTTAATATCAAAGTTGGGAAATACAATGAAGATTTTACAATTGTTGAGAAAATTAATGTCAGCTTCAACTTTTCTTACTTGTTTGCGAAGTTTTTCCATTCTTCTGCAATCTTGTTTACAAACATCACTATTAAAACAATGAGAAGTAAAGCGTATTACAAAGCACTTTGCAAAGCAAATATTTAATTAAGCATCGTTATTTGTCCTTTTATGTGTTTATATAATGTTTATATTTCGTTTAGAGAGTCTTAAGAGACAAACCAATCACTGGTCTCATGATGATTCTCGACCATAGTAAACGTTCGCATTTTATTATGTATTTTGTTTCATTGTTATTGTTGTCAATTATATTTATCAATAATAAAGGTAGATTAATAATTGGCAAATATGCAGTAAGTCGGCGTAAACAAAAAGACAAGGTAATTCTAAGTGCTGAGAAACACACTACGGAGAGAAAGGAACTTTCGATTTGTGCGACGACGCGACGCTAGAACGGAATCATTCATGCGTGACCGTCCTACTTAACATCCTACGTTCTCTGCATACGTAGATTTTGTGACCTTAACGTTCTCGCATGCGCAGATG